ATTTTTTTGCCAAAACAGGGCATTTAGAAGCTCGAGTATCGATACTGGAAGAGCAGTACTGATATTGTTCTTTAGCTAGGGTATTAAACAAGATGATGTTCATTCATTGAGTATCGATACTGTAGGTCAGGTTTTGATACCCATATGGTGATATCGATATTGCGGGGCACAAATCAGATTCCAAAATATATTTTTGGTATTAGTACTCAAGGGAGTATCGACACCCAGGGTAGGTTATCAATAATCCTAGTAGGAGTATCAATATTGAGGCATTATTTCAAAACATCGAACCTAACTTTTGTATTGATACTCAGGCCAGTATCGATACCCAGCCTAAGTATCAATACTCAACTAGGAGTATAGATACTACCTCTCTCAATCAACCTAAATCAGTCAATAGGCATCGAAACCAAAAGGTGGGTATCAATACTTAGGATTTAGGATCAATACTCTAGGTTCAATATCGATACTAAAGGAACAATATGAGTGCCAATAAATAGTTTTGGATAAATAATCAAATGAGTTAGGGATTAGACTTTAGAGGACAAAATACTCCAGAATGACAACATATAAAACTACAAGTAAGAACAATAATTAATATCATAAGAGTTAGAAATAGTAACAGCTAGAATTATATAAAACTAAACTTATTTGACACTCGGGCAATAGTCAGGACACGCAAGTCTCTTTAGCATAACACAACAATTAGTGGATATCCAGTCAATCTCATGGAACTTCAGTAGTCGACTGGGCACAGATTCCCCAAGACTCAATAGAGTAAGTTAGTGCGTGTATGTTTCTAATGCAGCTCCGGATCTCATCTAAATACCCAAGGGTATCTCAAAAAGGCTAGAGGGGTGTGTAAGCTCCGAGAACCCTCAACCACACCATGACGCCTATATCAGCATATAGATAATTTTACCATGTCTCATACCTATGCCACTTGCATGCTCATCTAGTGAATACATGTAGTACAATATAATTATCAGTTTGACACTGAGCTCGTAAGCTTAGCGTATGGAATGTGTTTCCATGCGCATGTTCTTAGGTGACCAGTTCAGGAGCATTATCATCGACAGTAGTTCCAGATCAACAGAGGTATTCAAAGTATGTCTTGGATTATCCTTAGAGGGCATGTATTGTTATATAGACCCTTGTGTATTCAGTCGCAGCTCTATTTTGTTTTAAACTCAATATTGTACTATCTTGGATATTTTGGGAGCTCCCCCGTATTGTAGACTTTATTACTATGTTTTATTTTAGTTTATATGGATGAACCTTTATAAGATGTTTTACAAATCAGATTTCAAAATAAAATTTTGGGTTAGCCACTTTGGTGGTCCCGTATGACATGCTAATCCATCGGTCTTCGGGTCGTACTGGATTAGGGCGTTACAATAATACTTTCCATCGTTCAAATTTTCCAACAAACCCCTAAATCCTATAAATCTAATAAAGTCTCCAAACATCTAAAAAATTATAGGTTTTTTTGTTTAATATCATCGATTTTGAGTGAGCTTCATGGAAAACAAATCATATGAGAAAAATGAAGAGTGAAATGCAAACATTTTCGTAAAGATTTTGTAGCAAAAGATGATTAGTGATAGGTGGTGATTGGTAACCTACGATGGTCGAAAAGTGTAATTCCAAAAAAGAAAAATGTTTAAAAGTTCAGTGGAAAAATTGATACACCGCTAAAGTTTAGTGTCTAAAACGACATCATTTTAGGCATCAGAACAGCCGCACCAAAATGACGTCATTTTGGTGTGCATGCCACATCATCAATAGTTAGCCATGTCATTGCCTCGTTAGTGACTTAATGACAGAGTGACATAAGTGAATGTAAAACTAAGTTTCAGTGCTAGAATTAAAAAATTGAAAGTTTAGTGATATAAACAAGATAACGAACAATGTTTAGTGGTATCTGAAATAATTTTCCTTTACTAATAATATAAAGGCTTAATATAGAAAATTGCCCAAACTATATCACTTTTCCAAAAGTGGTGCCTAAACATTTTTTTCTGTCAATCCAAGTGTCTAACATTAAAAATATTAGCACTTTTGGTGTCTCGATCTTAACGATCATTAAACAAATTCATTAAGTGACACGTGTCACATTCAAGTAATTTTGAAAATTTTATTATTTAAAAAAATAAAAAATATTATTATATTTTTAAAAAAATCTAATTTCACTTAAGTTACAAAAAAGCTCTAAATCCCTAAAAATCTCAAATCCCTAAGGTTAACCCTAACCTTATCTCCCTTACAGACCACAACCATCGATGACGACACCTCCCTTGCCAACCCTTATCGGTCGTCACCGACTTTGCCTTCGCCCTTGTCGTTGTGTTCGTCGGATTGCGTGGGTGTTGTAATTTTTCAAACCTTTTTAAACATCGAGTTCATTAGGATTCGTCGGGTTTTGAGTTTTCAAATTTATCTTGTCGTCGACTGGAGGTTCGATCGGTTGGGGGTCCGAAAACAATGACAGCAAACGGTGATGACCGATATGGGTATAGTGATTGGAATAAAGGTTTTTCAAGGTTTTGGAATTTTTTTATGATTTCCATAAATTATAGGTTCTAAAGAAATTATATTTTATGTTTTTAATATTAACTATTTTTTTTAGATTATCAAAACATGACATGTGTTACTTAACGGAGTTTTTTAACGGTCGTTACAATTGGAAAAAAAGTGTTAAAGTTTGTAACGTTAGACACCTAGATTAACTGGGAAAAAGTTTAGACACTACTTTAAAAAAAGGTATAATTTAAATACTTATTTTTATATTAAACCTAATATAAATAGATAAAACTTAAAAATCACTTTACTTCATTTAAGCCTACACAATCTTATAGAAAAACCAAAAAGGTACAGCTGTAAGAGAGTTGAAGTCTACACTTATCTGAACTTTAAAATATTTAAAATGAATTATTCAAATTTGAAATCAATCTGAGTCAATAATAATCAGATTATTTGACCGATAATTTTCTGATGTTGGTATTTGAAATTTTCGACATATATAATGTTTAACACATTTTATGTGGTATACAAGTAGGTAATTTTGACCGATACTTTAAAATATAACTTATCTTAAACGATACAAATCGATTGTAACCGAAAATTTTATCTAGAGCATAATTTTTTTAAATTAGAGTAATATTTTCGGTTGCAATAAAAAATATTACTTCTTCTTAACATTTTGGGTTTCAACCAAAAATGTTATCTTATTAATAATATATTTGGTTGGAAGGCCTAACCCCTCAATGTAACTTTTCGGTTGTAGCAAAAATATGTTATAAATTTTTATAATTTTTTAGGGTGAACAATGATAATATTTTAAAATGAAAACCATCTTAAATTAACCTTAAACTAGCTTGCCAAATATCAAACTTTCCCTAATTTTGAAGATTTTTAAGAAGCTTAAGAACCATTAGAATAGTAGGAATTAAATTGAACTGATTTAAATGTCATGCATCTGATTGTGTGGCAGTGACAAATAAGAATGGACACATGAAAGTGATGACTGTTTAACCACTGAGGAAAATTCCAAGATAGCATTATCTGTAGGCATTTCACGATCCAGCTGTAGGATATATGCCAAAAATCCAAGTATATGGAGAGTGGCAAAAAGCAAAATATCTAGTGCGGTATGGCCCCCATCAAACTTTATTTATGCTGCATCCACAATGAGACACTGCCCGAGAAGGATAGCGATATGCAAGAACGAGCATAGATACTTATCTTAGAAATTCGATGCAAAAAGACACAGCATTGTATCTCAGGCAATATATTATTAAGAGTGAATTACAATTAAATTTTAAGCGGTATATTATTTATATTATTGAACTTTTGATTACTTTCACTTATAGTATTAAATTTTTATTTTGATATTAATTATATAATTGGATCGTTAACTCAATAATAGTGAGATGACATGTACAATGATTGTCGATATGAACCCTACACTAAAATGATGTCCTTTTTATACGTATATTTTAATATCCAAAAACACCCAAACCAAAATTATTTTATTAAAAACTTGAGGGGAAAAAAATTCGAATACTCTCTTAAAAAAACTCAAACCAAGATCTTCGAAAATTTGGTTAAGAGTATAATATGCTCTTAAATTGATTTGGTGGTTGGGTGTTTGTGTTTTCTTCCCAAAGACTTTCCTTCGAGTCTAATAGACTATTTGTATTTTCTTTTATTTTTACAGTAAAAGGACATCGTTCAACGTCTCTTTAGGCACTAAAACAACAATATTTTGGTACAGTGATCATCAACAATCATAGTATCCCTAAAATTCTTTCATATGGTGTAGTTTAATGTTATTTTTTTTAAAAATTAGTTTTTATAATTAAAAATAAAATTAAAACCATAATAAAGAAAAAGTTGTAATGTCACTCAAATAATAAAATATCAATGAAAATTATTGTTTTTAAGTAATAAAAGTTTTAAATTCAAATATTTGCAAACTATTTCATTCAAAACAGTTATTCTTAAAAAAGAAGACAAATTCATATAACTTTATTAACAATTTATCTTCTCCGATTTCTCATCTCTAAATTTGAAAGAAAATGAAAGGGAAGAAAAAAAGAGAGGAAAACTTATATTATCAGATCACTAATAATTAACTATCAACTTATATATGTATGAACTTGTAAATTATGAGACTATTGCCCAATGGCTTTGGTTTTGGCTTTGATGAGGTGGTTTAATTCTCCAGCGGAGATCCTCTATGAGTAGTCGGGTCTCCGATCGGCTGGAGACGGTGTTACAATGCCTATAAGACGGTATTGTTGTTTTGAAGACAGTTCAAGTTCCTTAATTTCATCCAAAACAATTTGCCGGCCCCTGCACTCTAGGCTACAAAATCCTTGGTCACCCCTGCGTTCACATCACTTCTCTAAGAATTGCTCTTAAAATTCACACTTAATCAAAAGAATCATAATTTAACAAAACTAATAAGGCAATCCATTATATATGTATACCTCTAATATTTAAATTACAATCAAGATGCATTTTAAGTTACATAGTAGATGGAAAAAATCTTTGATGAAGCTTTGAAAGAAATGGATGAAATGGAGTGAAAAAATTATTTTTTATGAAGGGTGAATACTAGGGTGAACGTTAAAAATTGGTCGGAGTACATGTCGTTTTCCGAAAGACAGCCAAAGCATCCGACGTTTTCAACTCTTCATTTCCAACAACATATGGCATCCTCATCTCCAACGTCTTCGGGGGGCCAACCATGGCACTCCGGCCGGGCATAGGTGCAGTAGAGAGAGGCCAGTCATGGTGCTCCAGTGATGAAATACTTGAAGTCGTCAGCTGCTCCGGTCGTCTTTTGAAAGACGTCAGGTGTTCCGACCAACTTCCGACGTCCACTATAGCATTCACCCTATTTGAAAAACTAAAATCTGAACCACTCCAAATGAAACAAAATCATTTTTTCAATATCCTATCCAAACAAAGTTTGCCATAATAGATATTATTACATCAATTGCAATAAATATTATTGTCAAATAACACCTGCATACTAGAGGCTGTGGGAAGGGAAATTTTTAGTTACCTGTACATGAAAACTTCTTTATCTAGGCTCAAGTTCTTGCTGCATAGATAACATGATTTGAGAAAGCAAGAATCTTGATTAGCCAGGCGATGCTTACTAGAGGCTGTGGGAAGGGAAATTTTCAATGCAGGTTTAACGACTACCACAGATTTTTTGCCTTGTGGGATTTGCGTTAGGATTCTCAGCCCAACAACAACTGATGAACTCTTACAAAAGTTTGCATAAACCGGGTTGTTCTTCTTGCCCTCTTCACCTTCACTGTCTCTCTTTAGTTGCTTGAAAGGGCTCCTAAGTTTTGGCGTCATTGATATCTATTGAACGATATGAGTGGAGAGCTTGAGAGACATGGAAGATGAGAAGAAAATAGAAGGGTCAGGATAGAGAATCTAGTAGTGGAGAGTGATGGATATTTAAGAGCAGCTTTTTTTACCATATTAGAGTGGGTAAAAAAATCATTTCTTTGTGAAAAAAAGTAAACTACACAATATACCATTAAACTTTAGATAATGTATCGTTTATACCATTAAATGTTCAATTTCTTCAATTAACTTTGGTTTGAACTACAATTATGACACTAGGCTTTTAAAATCCACACGATATGAGGACATAGAAAAAAGAGAAAATAACCTCAGTGACCAAAAAAGCCTTATAATATACGAATTTAACCAACTTTTTTTGGATTTGCCAAAATGACCAACAAATTCGCAACGCGATCTCAAATTCGCAACGTGAATTCCAATTTCGCAACCCAGTTTCCAATTTCGTAATGCGAATATGTAAATCGCATTGCGATTTTCCAAATTCGCGTTGCGATATTCCAAATTCGCAACTGAATTTCAAATTCGCAACGCGAATTTAATTTCGCAACAGGTTTTAGTTTCGCAACACAAATGGTTTTGAGTATATAACAACGCAACAGCAACAACTCATAACCTAAATCCCTAAATCGCAACTCATTCCATCTCCATCTATCACTCTCTCCGACGACATCCGTTCCTATATCCAACGACATCCTTCCCCATCTCTATTTTTTTTACATAATTTTATTTCTATATAATTTTTCAATGATTTCTCTCCCAAATTATCAACTATCAACTTAATAAAGGTATGTTTTTCTCTAAGTTAGTGATGATATCTAGTTTATAGCTCGTTTGTTTAGTAAATTCATTTACAATTTTTAGAATGAAATCATCTAATTTGATCATGTTTGGATAGATTTGTGTTTTGGAGGGTCATGGGAGAATGTTCATGGTATTTTACAATATGTCCCTTTACCCATGAATCTTCAACTAAAACTGTCATAAAAAAAAGTTAACTTATGAAACTCTAATGTTAGGTGTTGCAAATAAATTGAATTTAGAGCCTCTAAGTGGATTTAGGCTATCTTATCTGAGAAAAGGTAAAGTTTATTTGTTAACCGACAATGAAGATGTTGAACGATTCATTGCTTACATTAGTGTTTCGCAAGAAGATGATGTTACATTATATGTTGTTGAACCTAGAAGTAGTGAAGTTGGGTCAGTAGCGGGTAGTAATCAATTAAGTTCTTCAACCCAAAATTTAATGGTTCCACCACAATTTCATCACCAAGAAAATTTTGTTTCACCACATTTCCAATACCAAACACAATATCAAACACAATCTCAAAACCCACAACCTTTTCCTCATCCAAATCCCAATCAACTTTCAGGACCAAATTACGGTTTTCGTATTGACCAGTTAGACGATTATGAGCCAACAGAAAAAATTGTGAGTACTAGTCAGTATTCGAAATTTGATCTTGGTCAATACCCGGACTTTGATCTTGGTTAATACTCGGATTTTGATGATGTGATGGAATAAGAAACATACCCTGCATGTAATGATTTTGATATTGGTCAAAATCCGAATTTTGATGATGAAACAGCCGTTGCCGAGGAAGATGTTGTTGATGATAATGAGGAGGAAGTTACGACTGTGAATGAACATGTTGAACATCCATTCTGTAATTCATATAACCTTGAAGAAGAAGAAGTCCCCGAAGAAAGGAAAAAGAAGAAAATGCCACGGGAGTATAACTGGAATATGCCAGAATTACTTCAGATACCGGAAGAAGAGTTGGTAAAGATATCATTTGATTGTTACACAAAAGTTATTCGTATCAAGAAAGATGATTGTTTTGATACAAAGGAAGACTTGAAGATAGCTTTGTATACGAAATGTGTGGAAGATGGCTATCAACTAAGAGTTAACAAATCAAGCAAATATCGTTTCGAAACAAGGTGTATGATTGACAAAAACTGTACGTGGCGTATGATTGCTAAGAGGATAAAAGATTGCGAAATGTTTCAAGTTAGGACTTTTATTGATAATCATACATGTTCAAGAACCCAAGTTTTTCCTCACAATAGACAGGCAAACAAAAAGGTGTTGGGTGGTTTTCTGGCTGAGTTAATGTTTTTGAATGAAAGGGTATATCGGGGACATGAAATTATGACTGACATGAATGCTCGGTTCAAGATTAGTATCTCATATTCTCAAGCTTGGAGAGCCAAATGTTATGCCTTGGAATTGTTGAGGGGGTCGCCAGAAGCATCGTTTGCCCAACTGCCGGCTTATTGTCACAATTTAAAGCTGAAAAATCCTAGGTTGGTAACTCATATCAAAACATATAGATATGGACGCTTTGAGTTGCTGTTTATCGCCATTGGTGCTGCGGTTAGTAAATAATTATAATTTTGTTGACTCATTTTTGTTAGTTTCATGCATTTCACATTTAAATGATTATATTTCTTGTGTATATGATTTTGTAGATTCGTTCGTTTATTACTTGCATGCGCCCAGTTATTATAGTTGACGGAGCACATTTGATAGGTCGATACCTTGGAGTAAACTTATTAGCAGTAGCCATAGATGCTAACAATGGGATACTGCCAATAGCTTACGGGGTTGGCAAATCCGAAACCTCTGATTCATGGACATGGTTTATGGGGCATCTTAGGGATTGCATAGGTCCTATTAACAATCTGACAATCATATCCGATAAGGCAAACTCAATTGACAACGCTGTTAGAAGGTGTTTCCCAGATGCTTTTCATGGACTTTGTGGTGTTCATTAGTACATAAATCTAAAATCAAGGTCTGCTGGTATAAAAAATCACAAATGGACATACTGGAAGGCTGTAAAAGCTTATCGGGAAGTGGATTTTAATAAGCATATAAATTGTTTAAGACGTGTATTGCCTCAATGTGCTCAAACACTAGAAGATGTCAGGTTTGAAAGATGGTCAAAAGTACATCAACTTGGAGCAAGATATGGTTTCATGACGTCTAATAGTGCAGAATCAATCAACGCTCTAAGTCGTCATTCCCGAAAATTACCCATTATTATGTTAATGGAGTTTTTTCGAGCCTCTATTCAACAGTAGTACTACAAGAAAAGAAACCATGCTGGTATTAGTTCTTTAAATTCGTAACTTATCATATATTTTACTAAGTATTATTTATTTAAATTTATAGGAACATTGGAATGTCGTGTTACACCATGGACTGAAAAAAAGATAACGAAACGTGTTGTGAAGTCAACGTCCTGGAGAGTTGAACCATGTTCAAACACTTTGTTTGAAGTATTGGATAATAATTTAAATGGGCTTGTCGATCCAAATGAAAAGATATGTAGTTTTAAGAAATGGAAAACATCTGGTTATCCGTGTGGCCATGTTATAAATGTTGCTCTTCATCTAAACCAAGATGATTCAAGCGCATACGCTATGGATTGCTACACTACTGAAGTATATCGACAGACTTATGCCGAGATTGTCTACCCATGTCCACATCCTTCAGAGTGGGACATACCAGATGACTTACAAACAGTTTTGCCACCAGTCATGGACAGCAGGCTACCTGGCCGACCAAAAAATCATGATCGTATACCGTCTAAGGGTGAAGAGAAGAGGATATCGACATGTAGTCGGTACAAGGAGAGTGGTCATGCAAGGTTGACCTGTGGATCACCAGTGCCATCAAAATCATCTTTTCCTCTACCAAAAAATGGATCCTCATCAAAATCCAAAGCTCATATGGTGCCAAGCAAAAGGAAATCAAAATCGCAATCAAAATCAAAATCCCAATCACAACCGGCTTCACCTTTTGGGACTTATTAACTTAGGTGATTTTTAAATGCAAACGTTGTATTATGTGTATTTTATGTGTGAATGCATACATTTTAAGTTAGACATTCATTAGTAACTTGAGTTTGAACATTGATATAATCTGTTCAGTTGTTATCATATTAAGATTTTCTCTTGTGTTTGATTGCTTGGATAGTTGTTCTCTTGCTTCTTCAAGTGTCCTTAGCTTGTATTTATAGCTTGAAATGTGTTTGATGTTGTATGTTGCGATCAACGCGAAAGTCAAATTCGCAACGCGAAATAAGCGTTGCGGTAGTCAAATTCGCAACGAGAAAGTCAAATTCGCAACACGAAAGTCAAATTCGCAACGTGAAATAAGCGTTGCGATAGTCAAATTCGAAACGCGAAAGTCAAATTCGCAACACAAATAAGCGTTGCGAATTTGACTATCGCGTAGCGAATTTGACTTTCGCGTTGCAAATTTGACTATCGCAACGCTTATTTCGCGTTGCGAATTTACCTTCAACAGGTATTTTTTACCTTCAACATAATTCAGATTGAAAATTAAACAACAAATCAATTAAACATTGTTGTGGGTACATTATTTGAACATTGTTATGAGTACATTATTTGGAAAAATAATGTTCCGGACTTCGTTAGAAATATCCCTTTTTCATCGGATTAATTTTGTTTTTGTGGGTATATTATTTGAACATTGTTATGTATAAATTTGTTGTGTATTTATGTTTTGGTTTGATTATATTGTATGTATATTTTCATTCAGATGAGATGGGTTGTGTATAACAAAACAATCTATCTCTTCCATGTGAGTACTTTATTCCAACCATGTGACAAGTGTGACAACCCCATCAACTCACAACTCAGCTTTGAACTCAATCAATATTGTCTTTTAGCTTGATGGTTCATAAAACATGTTACTTGAACAGTATGAATCAATTATACAATTTCCATGTTTAATTTAACTGCATTTCAAATTCATTTCATATGTAATTGGAGTTTGAATTTAAATTTCAATTTAACACTGCATTTCAAATTCATTTCATATAAATTTCAACTCCACTATAAATATTAGCCCAAGCCAATATACATGTTATCATTGATTATTCCTAATTTCCATTATTTTTTTTCAAATTTAAACGCGAGGGAAATCTTGACCATCGTATTTTTTGGTCAACTTTAAAGCGTCATAAACGTTTCAGGCGTATGATTTGGGTGGTATATGAGAAATGCAACAAA